TACAGCTAGAAGTATGGAGGTGGTCACGATCGCTTGTGCAGGAGGAGAGAAGCAAAGAAAGAATTAAGAAGATAACATTAGATTAGATTTGAAAAAGTTAGCTCTTATGACCTCAAATATATGTTTTAAACCTTTATAAACCAAAATTAAAACCATAACGCCGAAAAAAACCCGACCCGAACCAACCCATAGCCAATTGACTTAACTAACTCAATAACCATTAGTAACAAAATCTCTGCACTACAAGATATCAAAACATAAAAACCGAAAAAGAGCTCCAAAACCGTATCTATCGTGTTATTTAACCACCCTATGCTCTTACTTTGTGTTGCCAAGCTCGGTGCGCATCTTCTTGGTGGCTGTAACCATGTTAGATAGCGCCGGCTTCACCTCAGAATACTTTCGCGTCTTCAGTCCACAATCAGGATTCACCCACAAAATCTCGCGCTTCAAAACCGCAGCCGTTTTCTTGATTCTCTCTGCAATTTCCTCCATTGATGGTATTCTTGGAGAGTGGATATCGTACACACCAGGACCGATTCCAGCACTGTACTTTATTCCCTCACGGAACACCGACAGAAGCTTCTCGTCGGATCGCGAGTTCTCGATTGTTATCACATCAGCATCCATGTCGATGATGGAGTTGATGATGTCGTTGAAGTTTGAGTAGCACATGTGTGTGTGAATCTGTACACCATTACAAACATAAACCAATCGTTTAAATTAAAATTGTTCAACCGAAATCAGACAACGCTAGGGTTTAGACGGAGATTACCTGAGTGGAGTCCTGGACGCCGACGTTGGTGATTCTGAAAGCGTGCACCGCCCAATCCAAGTAGAAAGCATGCTCAGATTTCCTGAGCGGCAAACCTTCTCTCAACGCAGCTTCATCGATTTGGATGATTTTGATTCCAGCTTTCTCGAGATCCTGGACTTCATCCTTAATCGCCAACGCAATCTGGTAGCAGGTTTTGAATCTGGAAATAAACAGATCAAATATTCAAATTCCAATTCTTTTTAAGCAAATTTTCATCTGTTTTGTGGGAATGAAAACTGAAAAGGATGAAAATTAGGTTACCTGGGTTGATCATTACGAACGAAGGACCAATTGAGGATGGTGACAGGTCCGGTGAGCATGCCTTTCATGGGGCGTTTGGTCATTTGTTGAGCCATGGAGGACCAGAAAACGGTCATGGACTTTGGCCGGCTAACATCACCGTAGATGATCGGCGGTTTCACACACCGGGACCCATAAGACTGCACCCATCCATTGGCGGTGAAGGCAAAACCAGACAATTGCTCACCGAAGTATTCAACCATGTCGTTTCTCTGTAAATCAATGTAATTTCATTTTCATGTCTTATTTTCCACTAATTAATTAACCAAATTTATTGGTTTTCTTGTACCTCTGGCTCTCCGTGGACTAGCACATCAATGTCGAGTTCTTCTTGTAGCTTCACAACTTTATTGATCTCTTCTTTCATGGCTTTAACGTAATCTTCCTCTGTGATCCTATATATATAAACACATGAATAGTAATCAAATAACAAAATAAAAGAATCTTGCAAACCCATTTGAATATACTCACTTCTTAGCCTTGTATTCACGACGAACTCTCCTAATGTCAATGGTTTGAGGGAAAGAGCCAATGGTGGTTGTGGGTAGAACCGGAAGATTGTTTTTCTTCTGTTGGGCATCCAATCTAGCACCAACATTGGTGGCACGCCGGTGGGTGGAACCCTTCAAAGCATCAGCCTACAAAAGCATAACAAATGAATCTTTTGGGAAATATGGTGATACAAATTAATGTCAAGAATCTGCATCACTTACAGCTTTTTGAACAGCTTCATTAGTCACCTTTGGGGAGGACTTCTTTGAAGCTAGAGCAGCAGCATTAGCCGAGAAGTATGCCTACAAATTAACCCACACAACCAGTAACACCATTATACATGTATGTGTATGTGTAAATGTATGCATTTGTATATGGCTATATGCATATATGTACCTCGTCTTTTTTACCAGATAAGGCCATAGCCAAGGCGTTGACTTCAACAATCTTTTGAGCAGCAAATGCAAGCCAAGATTTGATTTCATTGTCCAACTTGGTTTCGTTTACAAGATCAACAGCAGTGTGGAGGAGGGAGCAGGAGGTTGACACCACAAGCTTGTCTGCACAAATCATGTTTCAAATTATTGTTCTTGCAAGTATGATAAAAAGACACCATAGTTTGCAAGATTGACTTATGAAAAAGAAATCATGGTTTTCAAGATCAATAACTTATGAAAATATGCAAAAACGATCTTTATTATTATTATTATTTTTTTTGTCAAAAACTACTCATTTCTACCTTTGCCAACGACACCCTGAAGAGACTCAAGAATCCCAAGAGATTCAGCAAGATCATTAGCCCAAATGTTCCTTCCATCAACAACTCCAGCAAAGAGGTATTTTCCAGATGGGAAGCTGCTCTTGATCAAATCAAGACTATTTTTACCACGAACCAAATCAAACGTGTACCCCGTGACAGCTGGCAATGACGTGAGTATCTTAAATGCATCCGTAGTAATATCAGCAAAATAGGTTGCTATAAGAACATTAACACCAGAACAAGCTGACTGTAATCCAGAATAAGCCTTGGTGAAAGCTTCCAATTGGTGGGATTCAAGATCCTTCACAATCGTAGCCTCATCAAGCTGGATCCATGTCGCACCAGCTTCCTTCAATTCTGTAATGACTTGCCTGAAGGAATAGTTACAGTTACAGTTTCATTATGATGTAATCATATAAACAATGAATTAAGGTTTTGTAATGATAAAGAGAAAGAGACATACTTGTAGATTGGGAGGATTTTGTCAAGAAGGGATAAAAGATTGAAGGTTTTCTCAAGACCTTTTGCAGGTTTAGATAGCAATAAGTAGCTTACAGGGCCCACAAGAACAGGGACAGTATCAACTCCAAGCTGCATAAAAGATGAATCAGTTTGAAATAAAACTTACACAGGTGGAAATGGATCAAATAGCTCAAGAACACATACAGCTTTAGCTTCCTTGAATTCAGTCACGGCTTTGTGAGAAGCATTTGAGAACACCACATCAGGGCCCAACTCAGGAACAATGTAATGGCTGTGTATAAACAACAGTTGATGGCATTAAAATCGAATTATGTGAAGGAAAAGGAAAATAAGAACGTGAACATGCAACTTACTAATTTGTGTCGAACCATTTTGTCATTTCCATAGCAGGGACAGATTCGTTTCCTCTAGCCATGGCAAAATAAGTATCGAATCCAATCTCACCGCCTTTCCAGTTGTATCTTGAAGGAACAGCACCAAGCATGGCTGTGGTGTCAAGAACCTGATCGTAGTAAGAGAAAGTGTTGCTAGGGATGTATTTGATGCCAGCATCCTTCATCTGTTTCCAGATGTTTGATCGAAGATCAGAAGCCACTTTCTGCAAATCATCGGCACTGCTCTTACCATCCCAAAACGATTCAAGCGCAAATTTCAGCTCTCGTTTTGGTCCCATACGTGGATAACCAACGATATGAGATGCCATTGTCCTGTCAATCCACAAATCGAACGATTTACAGAACTATAGCCGATTAAAATTTCAGATTTGAATGATCTATCAAAGCAATCATGCGATCGGTAATCGAACTTATCATGGCGTATACGTAAATTTACACAAAGAATGAGAAATGCGATCAAGTCCGTATACCTGGAAATAGTATCTGATTGTCTAATGGATTCGAGGTTTTATCAAATGAAGTAAAGAAAATCGAACTAATTACTACCAACAACACATACAAGCGGAAGGGTAGAAGAGGGCAAGAGAGTGGAGTTTAAATCGGATCCAAAATCAGATGGAAAAGGGCGAGAAAAGAGCAATGGAATAGGGAGATACTTGGAAGAGGACTTGTTCTTTCATACATAGTATTAGGATGACCAAGATTTTTGAAAAGGATTCAGTGTGAGTGTGGACTATTTATAGTTTTTGGGCTAAAAAATTACTACTAGTATGATAAAACAATTTCACGAACGATATGATAATTTTGTGATAAATCATTCCAAAATTAGTATTTTATGATAGGAGTTGATTTGTATAAAACAAAAATTCTCCATACACAACAATTATGTTTTAAAATGTTATATTGTACAACTTTATTAAGCATAAAATGTTGTGTATGGATAAAAAATATTTTATATAATGATTAAACCATGTAATTTGCTTTTTTTTTCCTAATTATTTTGGTTATTTCAGTATTTTATATAATGTTCTTGATTTAACGATTTTAATTATATATTGAAAACAAAGCACTATTGTTTCCAAAGATATTTAATAAAGTTGTCCCAACTATCGATATTTTTATATTTTTCTACTGTGGCAAATATGCTTCAAAAATACACGGTCCAAACACCTCTCTTGATTTAACTACAGTGTGCTACTCGATCGCTTAGGTTCAAATTGTCTACTTCGACTTCATAAAATTTGAAATTAATACATTTTCTCTTGAACATATTATTAGAAATAGTCTAAAATATTCTAAAAGTTTTTACAATCCTCAACAATTATATAGATTTTTCCATGTTATTATGTTTGCTTGTATCTCATAGAACATTTGTGATGATACTACAAGAATAAACATCTATAGGGACGACATGTCGTCCCTATTGGCTACCTATAGGGACGACATGTCGTCGCCATAAGGTTGACGAATTTTTTTTGACTTTTGAAGCTATACCAACAACTTCTCGTCTCAGCATTTTAAGCGGGAAAGGAAGTGGATTTGGCGCGTTCTTGAAACATCTGTAGCAACGACTTATTGCTCTAACAAATAACGAAAATTAAAAATAACATATTTTTTTAATCACTTCATGCAAATAAATCGTTTTGCTCTAACAAATAACGAAAATTAAAAATAACATATTTTTTTAATCACTTCATGCAAATAAATAGTTTTGGGGATAACTATAGGGACGATTTGTCGTCCCCATAGCTTTCTATGCCCTTAATTAGGAGAGCAACCCCCTTCGTTTCATTCACGCACGCTCAATCATCAGTCTCTCTCTCTCTCTCGACAATTCTCCCCTGGCGACTTCCTCACCTCCCACTCCCGGCAAATCTTCTTCCTCTCTCTCGATCCTCATGCTAGTTGTCGAAGACCACCGGCTATTAGCTTCAACGCAGACGATTCTAACTATCGGCTTCATTTTCACCTCTGGCTCTTTCTCGATCGACCAGAAATCAGATCTTAATTCAGAATCAATCAACACAGATCTGATCTACCTGGCTGCGGATAACTGATGGCAGGGGCGGCCTCTGCGCTGTTCCTCCTCGACATCGAAGGCCGTGTTCTGGTGTGGTGCGACAACAGTGGCGACATCTCTGCATTTCAGGCCGAACGTTTCTTCACCAAACTGATTGAAAAAGAGGTATTTTCATGTTCGTTTTTCTTTCAGATAGTTTTTTATGTTGTTTGTCTTGGTTAGAAACCTAAACACGATAAGTAAAACAATATGTACTCATAATTATTCCCAATCCTCCTTGACTTTTTCACTATTGCAATTCTCAGTTTGCATTGCGTTCATATATGAGGAAAAAGTAAAACAATTCAACACTTTCTATAATTATTCCATTTATAATCTCTTATTGTGTTAGATTTTTTCATTTCTAAAACGACTCAATTGTTTTTTACTCTCTTAGACTTTAATAAATTCTTTTATAATGCTCCACTTCATTATATATTTTCAGTTATGCAGCCATCAGTGGTCTAGCTGATTCACACAAACCAAAAATGGTACTTAATTCATCCTATATCACCATTATGTCAAGTTCTGCTTAATGTTTTTTTTTGTGCTTAAATTCACACTATACTTTAAATTTAAGCAACAAAAAGAACTGATAAGCACACTAAGCAGACCTTGAAACAACTGTCATCTACATTCTGTTCCATTAATTTCTACTTTCAATAACATAATCAATCTAATAACTCCTGATCACATTCTAGGTAAGAGTATTCTATGTTGTGAGAATCTTGCTGGACCATGGGTTGTATATGTTAAAATACCATTAGGGATTGGCTTCCATATGCTTCAAACTGATATAAATGTGTTTTTGCAGGTTGATGAGATAGTAAATATTAGTCAACCTCTTCGAGAGCGATACAAGTTGTCTATGACTGATGGTGTTCAACAAATCTTTGACATAGAATACCAACCTATTAAAGATCTAGATGCCCTTTCACCTGCTGGATTGAAGGTTCTATGTTATAGTTCTCACACTCACTGGAATAGTTTACAACTGCTACACATTCTTGTTCATAACAAAGTAATTTCAGATCAATTTTTCTGTTTTAGGTTGCTATTTCTAATGTAAATGTAAGGCATGAGCTACTAATGTTGGTTCCAGAAGTGTTTCAAGTTTAGGAGGACTGGTTGAGGAGCTGGATGCAGCAAGGCAAAGACTTGTTAATGAAGTCAATAAGCCTCCAAGAGGCAAAAGGTTAGTTGATGATGAACATTTTTCATGTGGTAATACTTTCTTTTTCATTTTTTTCATTTTTTCATTTTTTCATTTTTTCATTTTTTCATTTTTTCTTGGAGTAAAAACACAATTTTTTGTTGTGTGAACATATTGGTGTTTCTCATTTCCGGTTTACTCATTGATCAAGAGTAAAACCACTAAAGATTAGAGTAGAAAGCAGAGGCAGCAAAGATGTATATATATAATGAAAGTGATTTTTGTTAATTCAAGTTTTCTTTGTATATGATTACTATTAATTTCTATGTTGTGTTTAATTTCAGAACAAGAACATGAGTTTCACCCTCTTTAGCAACTAGAGCTACTCATGTTGTATCCCAAAGGGCAACTCCAATACATGTAAATGTCCAAGGTATGTGAATGTGAAATCGTATTTGCTTCATAAAATAATGTGTATTAAAGGAGATTTGTCAATATTAACAACTTTCTACCATCTTTTATTTACTTTCCAGTGTTTTTTACTTAACCATACATTCATGTACTGTAGGTACTACACCTTCTGTTAATGGAAGAGTGGCATCAAATTCTTCAGTTCCTGGGAACACGTTTCAGTATCCTCTAATAATCAAGGTATGTGAATTTGTATCCACCTCATGAAATTAGTATGTGCATTAAAGGAGATTTGCTCATGTTCACCCGTTGATATAATTAAACAAATCAAAAAATTTGTGCGTAATTTATGTCTACTACCAAGCTCCTGTTTCTTTTCTTTTTGCCATTAAGTGTTGTATGTATGGATATATAACAATAATATAACTTGGTGATGTATGACTTACAATGTCATCATGCTACCAACTTTGGTGATGTACTTTCTTTATTAACATTACCATGTATGTAATGTAGGTACTACTACTAGACCTTCTGTTAATGGAAATATGTATTTTCTGTTCATAGGGAATTTGTTTTTGGAGCCTCAAAGAATCATACCTCTCAAAATGATGCAACTCCAACACAGGTAGACAACCAAGGTATGCAAGTTCTTTTGTTCCTTTTAATTAAAAATAGAAAATCTTGTCCATGTTCTTTTTTTAAACTTTTCTATGTGTTTATGTACTGTAGGTAAGAGTATTCTAATAACCTTAACATGTAATTTCTCAGCTGCACATTGGTAGTTGTTTCAGCTTAATTCAGTGCTTAAGCAATTCGTTCAACACTCAATGAGATGGCATCTTCCAGTAGCAGCAACAGTAACTTTGCATTCTGGATGCCATGGATCAAGATCGAGGTTCCTTCTTCCTAGTTCCTTCATCCTTTTCATTTTTTTTTTCAAAATAATGATTAAAATTGAATTCATGATGAGGTTTCAGATAATGAAAGTGGGAAGCAGAGTGCAAGAAGCTTTAGGGAGAAAAGAAGGGCACACTATGATGAGAAGCAATCCATTGTTGATGGTGTTTTTTTAAACCATGTAGAATGTAGTGTTATGTACACAAATGATAAGGCATGTGATGATTATGCAAATTTCCTCAAGTTAATAATTTTGTTCTACATATGAATTATATTTGCAATAATGTAGTGTTTTGAGATTGTATGGAATTTTAATGTTTTGCAATCAAATTTACCATATTAGCTATTTTGTAAATTTACTGCTTTAGCAATTTTGTGATGTGAAAACTGGAAAATTATAGAGAAAAAAAGCAGCTGTATGGGCATACCTATAGAGACGACATGTCGTTTCTATAGGTGGATCTATAGAGACGACATGTTGTCTCTATAGGGGCATCCACCACGACGACACGCTGTTAACAAAGGGAAAGACGTGTCGACTCTATATCTCTATCTATGGAGACGACATGTTGTCTTTATAGATACACCTATAGTGACGATATGTCGTCTCTATAGCTTCATCTATGGAGACCAGCACTGTATAGCGACGAACCAAAGCAGGACGACATGTTGTCTCTGAAGGATACCTATTGCGACGATATTTATAGTGACGACCAAAAAGATGTATTGCGACGGGGCTATGGTGACGAGAGCTATAGGGACGACATGTCTTCCCGGACATCTATAGGGACGACTTTTTTTAACCTATAGAGACGACATTTGTCGTCCCTATAGGTCCCGTTTCTTGTAGTAAGATTACAATAATTTTAGAAATTTTATAACAAAACACAAAAGATTATTAGGTCTGGAAATTTTATAGAAACATACTTTTGATATAAAAGTACATTTGATTAAGATATTACAAACCGATGAACTCACCAACTTTAAAGTGGACACTCTTTCAAAACACATGTATTCTCAGGGAACTAAGCATATGGAAGGCATATTTTTAGAACAATTATGGGATTACAATTTCTATTTCTTATTTCAATACTAAGTAGCCTACTGTTAGGGCTTACTTCGTACTTTCTTGTTTCTATACCCTAGACTAGGAGATATTGTAATCTACTCTTTTCAATAAAAGTATTTGTCTCATATCGTATTGTTGTATTGTTAAATGTATGTTTAATACTGTGATCCATGATGTCGTCTCACCGTCCAACGTTTCTGCCGCCTGGCTGGGAGTGTGACATCAACTCTTCTATTTTGCGATAATGAGTCAACCATAAAGCTTAGCCAATAATCCAACATTTCATGAAAGGACTAAACATATAGAGTTGGGCCGTCATTCATTCGAGATAAAGTTGTTGATAATACAATCAAGCTCATGCCCATAAGAAGTTAATATCAACTTGCCTATATGTTTACTAAGCCATTACCCAAAGCAAAGATGTTGCCTTTATTTTCCAAGATGGCTCTTCAAAACACTTTTCAAAGTCCATCTTGAGGAGGAATGTTGGAACTATCAATCACATGTTTCTTTGGGTTGTTACAGTTAGTTGTTTCTGTTAGTTACAGTTAGTTAGGCTTAAATTAGTGGTTCATTAAAGCATTCCCTATATAGTATATATATTGCTTCCAAATCATTATTATGGATGAGAGAGAATAATACAATTTTCAATTTTCTCATTTCAAATTCTTGTTATAGTCTCTTAACACGAATTATTACCAAAAATATATGGGTGATACTATATGTATCCATCATTCAGATATAAAGTAAAACACACGATCACTCATTCATTTACACATGAGAGGTACAAGTAGTAATTGGGGTACGAAATAAATACATATACCCATATATAATACATATTATTTATCGTGTTGCTTTCAGAGTAGTTATTTGATCACATATCATTTTTTTTGTCCACAGAAAAAGAGAATGGAATTTCGAATTTTGTGTCAATCTTGTTCCTTTGAGATCATTGGGTTCTCTCTATTGAGCCATCTCACTAAATCAATACAACTGGTCGTCAAGGAAGGAAATCTCATAAACATCGAGAAATAGATTTGGTGGTTAATCATCATGTAACTTGATCACAAACCCGGGACCATAATACATACCTGTGGCAATTGAGCAAAATCCAAATGTGAAGATGGACCATAATCACCATATATATTATCGATTCAAGCAATACGTCAAATAAGGAAATACTGCAGTTGCAGCCCTTACGTTTCACAAGTTATAGTTTGCCATTCAAAAGTTGCTATGGAATTTACCCTTTCATGTCTTAAATTGACGATTCTAGAATTAAACAATTTTGGGCTGGCATTTTTGTGAATCGTATAGAGGGTTGATACCATTCTAATTCATGTAATGAGATGATATGAGAGAATTGTGGAAAAGTGTTAACTGTATTATTGATGAATACGGAATATATACAAAGAGATACAGTGAATCTATCAAGTATCTTCTAACTGAATGAAATAGCAAACTATACTCTGTCTAATAGAATGAAGACACGTGTTAAGTAACTCAACATAATACTTGTGGACATGACCACAAGCTAAGAGAAAAATAGGAAAATAAATTGATTTTACATCAATTATTTCATTCAAAATTTATTTTCCAAAAATATATTTAGGAGGGAAATTAAGGCAAAGTAAAAGAAGATTTTATTGTTCTGTTTTCTAATTTTTTTCCTTTCAGTTTTGATAAGAAAGTGAACGAAATGAGGAGAAAAGTTGTATAAAATTTTATAATAACAAAAAGACCATTCTATTTTACGTTAATTTATACGTTTCTTAGTTCTTACCATTACAAAATATTAGAAGGTATATTATACATTTATCAGTTTTCTTTCCCTTTTCCTCCAACTCAAAAACAGGAATAAGATAATCATTTCTTTTTGCTGATCAATAAGAAAACCTGAGTTTTTTTTTCTTAATCTATAAATTTGCTAACAAATGACATTGCTACATACTTCTCATAATAAAACAATGGAAGCTGATACATACTTGTCTCTCCTCTTCTCCTTTCCTTTTCTTCAACATTGTAGACAAGAAAGTGAGTGTCGATATATTCCTTCATCTCTGAATATATTTCTTACAAGTTGACTGGAGGACTTCCCTGATTTTCCATAAGAAAAAAAAAAATTAATGTATGTAAGTGGCTAAATGCCCAAAAAAACAACCTACTTATCATTTATTCTTTAAAATACAATGCCTTTATAAGAAAAATATATAAAAAAATACAAAGATGTAATTATAAAGATTTGAAATTAGGATGTCATAACAAACAAATAAATAAAATTACGTTGCTATTTTACCTTAAAAAGAAGATCATAAGCAATATGTTCCCACGGTAGTGAAATGGACATGAGGCAACACTTAAGGGGTAGCTTCCTTCCATCTGAATTTCTTGTTGAAGACATAACTGCAAACACGTTCTTTGCTGCCACCTCAGCAACAGATGCAGCTTGTCGAACCATTGCACCAATCTTAAATCCTCTTGATATATGTAAAGGTGAGTGAAGACCAGATTCATCTAGACTTTGATCTAGAAACACCACATTTTATGTCACAAAACAATAAAGAGTCAAATAAATTCTTCTTTTTTTAAATATCATTATACCTAAAACACCAGAAACTGCCACCTCAACTTCCCCACGACCTCCAGGACCTTTCATGTATATCCTGTCTGTTTTTTTGCTATGAGAAAGACCAAAAGGTAAAAAGCTTCCAAATCCAGACTTTCCAACTATAAAAATTTACAAATGAAGAAAATGAAATTGTTGCATATGGTTGATATTTGTGCAATCTTACTATTTTTATAAAGAAAATAACCAAAAGTACAGCGAGTGAGAGAACTGAGTTAATAAAGGTATTTTATATTTACCATCATAAGCTTCACGAACCATTTGATAGCTTACAAATCCTGAGAATAGAGTAAGCTGTGATTACAAATTACAACCTTATTAGATTTTACAAGAAAGCCCCTCACTAGAACAAAGGAAAAAAAGAGCATATACAACTAAAATTTTAAAAAAATAACACCAAACCTTTTTTGGAGCAGAATTTTCCCTCGAACTACTATCTTCTAGAAGCTTTTCACTAGGAAATGCGGCCCCACCAACTGCATTCAGAACCACACAGTAGCAATGGTCTGAATCGGTCAACACCTGAAAAAAAATAAAAAATAAAAAATAAAAACTTGCAATGACATTTTTTACAAATGGTCATATATGAAATAAAATCATAATATTAAAAAATTAAACATTTTATATAGCCTATAATGGTTACCATACCATGGCTTCGAAAGTAGAATCAAAGTCATCAACTGCAAAACATATATCTGGATATGCAGGTGTTGTTTCTACTTCCTATACACATGCAGAAATACACAACATTCCTTGTAAAAATGATGAAATTTGATCAAAGTTGAAAATAATATAAAGTATAAACAACATGAAAGTTGATAATATAATTTGCCTTTCGGGAGTCCAAATGAAAATGGACACGGCTTGGAGATGCATAGACTTTTTTCACAATCTGAAAACACATCCATAAAACATGTATTAGAACAATTTCTAAATACAAAAATGTAAAAGGACTTAAAAAATGATTTGAATAAAGGATCTATGTTACCTTGTATATAGGAGATGGTTGTGTTTGTTGATTACTTTGATGATTCTGAATAGACTGATGACTGAAAGACCACATATTATTTAGAATGAAAAAACTAGTGAAATATAATAAATAAAATTTAAGGTTGTTATTCAATTCTAGGCCAAATTGCAAAAGTAAAATTTACATAAAATGGTAATAAAAGTAAGCATATATTTACCTGCAAATTGCCACTGTTATACTATATGAAGTGTGGGCAATTAAATTCAGGTATAATGAGCGCCTCCAATCTATATTCAATGTGATCCCTCCAACTAAATCATCCAACTGTCAACGAATTTATATATTGGGTTAAACATATAGAAATAGTGATATACTTTGATTGATTTGTTTATTATAGCATCCCACTTTCATTTTTTCTTATTAAAGAACTAACCTTAAAAATATCCACCCATTTATAGCATTTTCACTGTTATAAATGCATAGATGTTTCAAAAGATAATGTCCTTATAAGAAAAAACTTGTAAGTATAATGCTATAATAAGGAAAAAAAAAAGAGAAAGTAATAATGTTATAGAAAGAAAAGAAAGTAGGATGATATGATACACAAATAAATGAACGTGGGTTGCTATTTGTTGCATTTAGCTTAACTAGTTTTGTTGCTTTATTTACCTTAGTATCCCACCTGCGTACAAAGTAAGAAGACTTTCTTCCAAAATTATCATTGGAGCCATACCCATGACCATGAAAGCTCTGAAATTAAAAGGTGTAGAATCATGGACAAAGTATTGGATTTGTATTTGCTTTTTTTTTCTGCATGAAGTTAAGGCAAAATACCATTTCTCTAACAAAGAATAAAAGATCATCATCTTGTTGTTCCTTTGACTCCCTCCCGCCAATGAAATATGAATCCATAACATCATGCCAAAACTTCTGATCCACTTCAACATCAAAAGTATCTTGTGAAATATCTACTACGGTTTTTCCTAATAAATTTGAATGTTCCTTCACTATACTCAACAATTCACACCTAAAAGATAAACATTACTTAGATGGGACTTAATTACAACACAGAAAAGGAACTATCAGGATTAATGAATTTGAAGACCTGGGTTGAAGGAAACAGAGAATGAAGAAGGAACCAATGAATGAATTAACTGTTTGCTTACCTTGATTGGGGTTTCCCTCCAACACCTAGCATTTTCTGTTTGTCGATTGAACTGTTTTTGAAGTTCAGAGGTGTAATAATAAATTCAATCTCGAATGAACGAGGAAAAGCATATCTTTATGTGACAGAAAGAATCTGAATGAGGTACGAAATCAATAAACTTTATACAAACCCCATATCAAAATAAGGTCTGCTAAATACATAACGGAAAGGTTCGATCGAAAGTGAAATGTATATAAATAAGTTAATATATAACCAACCTGAAGAACAATTGTTCTCAACGATTACTTTACATCTGTACGTAGAAGAAGATATATGCAAACCAATCCCCAACGACGCATAGAACAAATGCACCAATATATGCCCACCAAGGTTTTTCTTTAATCATATATCCATGTGGGTGGGTGTTTGGACACCAAAGTGAAAAATCACGTGAAAGTCGATTATGGGGTGTTGTATGATGTGATAATTAGATGTTGAATAACCAATAATATAAAGGTACATAAGAAGCTATAGTGGAAACCATATATTTACTTTTTCGCCATTGCTTCCGGTATGGTATATCGATTGTTTATTTGGGTTCAAAATTCAAACAACGTGCTTTCCATTTGCTTCAAGTCTATTTTGATAATTTATTTGTCATTTTAAGATCATTTTAGGTGAAAGTTAAAATAGCATATTGGATCGTAAAATACATTAATTAATGGCAAATATTACCATAACTAGGTTACAACCCGTGGTTCCCACGGGTAAAAAATTTATAAAAGATTTTTAAAATTTTGCTATTATTATGTATAAAATCTAAAATGTAGTTGTGTAAAAATAATTGTTATAATCATCAAATGCTCCTGTAATGATTTTTTTAGAATTACTAACAATATGGCCAACGCATATATTTACGACCTAATAATGGACGATTAACTATCGAACCTAATATGTAAATTGGCTTTTCCTTGTTTTAGTTTGAATAAAATCAAATTAAATTGGTTTTTCCTTGTTTTAGTTTGAATTAAATCAAATGCAATCTGGGAGTTCTTAGTTTGAATATTATCAAGATATAGTTACAGGTAAAATATGGGTATTTTGCACATTTTTTTAGAAAAATTACAATTTTTACAATATTATTTAGAACTCATAAAATTTAAACTTTTTACAAATAAGCGCATCTAAACTTTTGAGAATAAAAACATTAAATTTAGAAAACATAAGACTGCAAAAAATAAAAATTGAAAAATTGGGCGTATAATTTACTAATATGAATATAATTACACCCGTATTAAACTTTAGAAAAAAACAACAACAAAAAATTCAACACAATAAATTAGAAAAGGAACTACAATATTTATGTAGTTGAATATGTCATGATCAACTTCAAATACAAAAACTCCTGTTTACAACAAAATGTTCTTCAAAGTTTTATGCTTCCTCTTTGTAAACCCAACGCTCATACTTCCCATTCAAACAACCCTAACTTTAAATGCCACAACTGCCTAACTGTAAGAAATAAAAGTAGGATGATATTAGAACCAAAGCAACATAAGTACACTGTTATATATTGTATTTTATCAAACAAAAAAATACACCATTTTCCTAACTTTTACATTTCAGCTTCAAACTTAAATATATAAAAACATTCTCCTTGAAAAATGAACAAATATAATGCATTTGACTTTTTATATTTTAATTACAGCCATGTTGTTTTCTTTCTTCTTAACTTCATGGTAATAAAATTGAGACTTATTATCTACATATCTTTAAACTTTAACGATTAGCTTTTCAGTAAAGTCAATACATTTAAAAAATTGGTTATCATGAGATTTGAAGTATAATAGTAAGCAATAAATTTAACCCGAAATTCCATCAAATCGTCATTAATTTAAATAAAGATTTTAGACTTTTAAAAACAACGTTCATTTGGGTCGATGGAGGACTTTCTAATTGATTAGAATTCTTGAATACATCTTTGACCATAACCTTGACTCAGTTTTTAGGTAATCCTATAACAAATTCATTTATCTTTTTTGCTTAAAGTTTTTTCTTACCAGTGACACCAACACCTGAATGTGGTACACCACAAACTATCTACCTGTATTCTTTGTTTTATTTAAATATGGCAACCTCTTTAAACCTAAAACCACAAAAACCCATAATCATCTTTCAAATATTATAAATTTCATTGCATATGAAATTGAAAGTATAACTTATAAAAACCAAAGAAACATAGTTTTCTTGATTCGTTATTTTAACCACAACCCTTTATTAGTAGACTTAGGGATGCAACGAATTCAACACGTTTTGCATACTTCCTACAAAGATAAATCGACTAAAATCATCAAATTCAAACAAAGCTCGAAAACAAAAATAGAGATGAAACTGACTAATACCATAAGCTTCTCATGTGGTCACTTTGGATGCATCATGAGCTCGTAACGACGACTGAAACAAAATTATATGGTTGAGAAATTGTGAGTTGAATAAGACACTCAATTTCTCATTTGGGTAAAAGACATAAATGCCCTATTAAACCTATTTCACACACACAAACACATGCAGTTAACTTACTTCTTAATCCTGAGTCAGGGTGGCAACCTTTCTGATTCCAATCACCCAAACCGACATAAGCCATGACAACATTATCTCAGTTTGATAACTTATCTGCAAAACACATAAATTTCAAAGAAATGCTAAATGTTTGTTACTTTCATGTAGTAAAAACCAAATTTACACAATCATTTCCCAACCACCTTTAATTGCATAAGTTTGTGCGGCAACAAACACATATACACGATTATAGAGGGGGGGGGGTCGACTACATGCTGTTTTTATTAGCTTATACTTTCATTTCATAAGGTTTGTAAAAACAATTGTATAAAAACAGAAACTTTATGATCATAGAAAACACTTTTATGGTTGTTAAAACTATAAAACTATTCATATAGTCATACCATGTTTTACAAGCAAGAACAAAAAGAACCGATTTTAATCAATAATCCAACCTCTCAATTTCACCCTTCCAGCTTTAATATATCGAATTACCGATCATCTAGTTTTAAGGCTTCTATACAATCAAATTTCAGACCTGTAACACAACTGATATTAGAGAGAAAAGAAGAGAAGGAGAGGTTGATGGAGTTAGGTGACGATACCTGCAAATCGGCAACTAAAGACGAACATGGTAGGTTTTCGTTTTAAGGTTTGACCGCTCTCATAGGAGGATTAAACCTAGGGATTTGGGTATTTAAAATTCAAATCATTAAACACCTGAAGATAACTATGAAAGCTACCCTGGATTTCAAAAACAACGACATTTGTATTATTTTGGGCTTTGCAACTTATTAGGGTTCGAGTCTAGGGGTTCAATTCCGATGAAGGATCAATCTACCGGGTGAAACACCAGAACCTGAAAACACAAAAGGATCTACAAACCTCAAACACAAAATCCAGATAAAAAAAAGACCCGGAAAGACAGAAACGTTATAACCCAAAATCTTTGAAAATGATGAAAGAGATGACAAAGAAGAAAATACCTTATGATGGGTGAGGTGTGGCTGACGGCTTAGGGTTAGAAAGAAGAAGAGACTGTGATTGCCAAAGATATTTCGTAGGCGTAAAGCATCAAGGGCATTTTCGAAAATCCACATTGAAATGAGTGGCAAAATTGGTATTTAACTCTGTATGAAATGAATGATTTTGAGTGGACACGTGGCAAAATGGTTTTGTTTATTAGATAGGGAGATTAAATGTAAAATACATTAATTATAAAGAATATTATTATAATTAAATATGAAATGCATTAATAATCTTCATAATAAATGTATTTTAAATTTAAGTATGGTAATATTTTTCATAATTAATATTTCTTATATGTATCATTAGAACACATATTAGAAATGGATTTTCTAATATGTGTCTATGGGCACATAAGAACTATTAATTATGGAAAATATTATCATAAGAATTATTAATTATGAGAAATATTACCATAATTAAATGTGAAATGTATTAATTATAAAGAATATTTTCTATACTTAATGAATTTCACATTTAATTATAGTAATATTCCTCATAATTAATAGTTTAATAAATACTTCTTATGTGTGTTCTAAAGATGCATGTTAGAAAATCTCTTAGAAAATCCTTTGTTTTTTTATGTATTTAAAGTAATATTATGAAGTTTGTTAGGGGCGCCGGATCTTTATTTATGAGGTGCAAGCAGTGTTTTAAAAACTGGTTTGAACCTGTCGGTCGAACCGGTTGGACCGGAAACCAAGGGAGGGAGCGGTTCAATTATCACGGGTTTTACGTCAATTTTTGAACCGGATTGAACCAGCCGGTTTTTAGAAAAACCCGGTTGAACCGGTCAAAATAAACCGATTGAACCAGTAAACCGAATAAAAACACATGGAAAAGAACAATTTGTATAATAAACTTTGGTGATTTTTTTTTCAAATATATTTAGTTTTCTCTAAATAAAAACATATGGTAAATATTATAAAGTTTTTGATATGTTTATATTTATCTAAAACTATATTTTGTTTCGCTATTATATTTTATTTTCTTTTTGACGTATATGAATTGATGTAAAACACTAAAACTTATGGTTATGTGTTATTTTAATGTATTTTGGATTGATCTACAACTTATTTTTATGTATATTTTTAATGTTGGAACTTATAAACGTCAAATTCATGATTTATATATATGTATGTGTAGGAAAATAGGAAAAAATATGAAAATTATAGAAACCGGTTGACCCGACGGTCGAACCGGTTAAACCGGAAACCAGTCACCATACCAGTTCAACTAAAAAAACGGTTTTTAAAACATTAGGTGGAAGTCTATGATTTCTATCATAGACACTTCAATGGGAGAAAACATTAAGAAAAATTGACATGACCGTCACCCTAAGTTTTGGGCCCTTACAAACCAAAGCAACTTAAGGCGCTTGTGGCACAAGCAAGGATTAGTTTTGTAAAAGGTGTTATTTCAGTTTTTTACTTATTTTATTTATTCAAACACTTAAAAAAGAGTGTGACTTTTACATCCTTCATCATAATTTTTTCTTTTCAATTAAAAAAGATATCAAAATCAAATCAAAATTATATTTAAATGTATGAATAAAAAAAAATAATAAATAAACTAAATGAAAATATCATCTTCCATTTGTAAAATGAAGTCGTGAGATGGATTAGTAAGACTAGTCTCTTTCGTTACGTGAACTGTGTTTAGGTGTTAGGTGTTGTTTGTTTTTTGGTAAAAACCTCTTCAGACCTCTTATTGTTGCGCGGCGCAGCACACGCGCAACACTTTTCATCTCGTAGCTGTTTGTTATTCAGAAGTCTTCGAATTAAAAAACATTTGCGCGTGTTCTTCTTGGCGCAACATTTGTTTTGCCTCTTCCTACCTCTTCCAACCTCTTCTTCTTCTTTTTTTCTTACTAAAATATTGATTATATATTGCTGAAATCTTATTTCACATTTTTTTTTC